TTCCTCTTGTGCGTATTTGATAGTTTTGACCAAAATATGCACAGATTATGTGGCAAGTTCTAAACTGAAAATGATTCTGGGGGCTGTCATGCTAAGCACTGACGGGTGCCGGAGAACAAAGTTCCGAAGAGCATCGGCGTGAAGGAGCTGTTTCCCGTTGCTGTACACCAGCACTGTAAATTCTCAGCTGCAGTATGCGGTTACGTAAGTGGGGCTCAAAATCAGAGCGAGCGGTTTATCCTGCGCAGAACGAACGGGATGGCCACAGCGGTACAGGAATGCTCAGCAGCTGGCCCCAGTGTCGCCGGAGATTGCCTCACAGCGAACCTGGAAAACCGTGCGGCTGTGTTGGAAGGAGGGAATGGAGCACGCCAGGCGCGTGTTCCCCTGTTTCCTTGGCAGCAGAGAAACAAGACTTGGGGAGGGGGATGGCGGGGGGGAGGCGACACGGCGCGGCACGGCGAGTGCGCCTGTAACCAACCCCATCCGTCTCTGCGGGCGGGTGGCTGACTGAAGCGCTATTATTAGCAGGCAGGTGATGTCATGGAGCGTGTCATGAGGCCAGCCAGGGAATCCCCACGGAAGATGGATGGGCGAGGGGTGGAGGGAGAGGGGGTTGGGACACAAACAGAGGTGCCCCCGTACTTGCATCCGCCCCGGGGGGGTCCCAGCGGCCCCCAGCCCGGCCTAAGTGGGACACTGGGTTTGTGCTGTGTAAATTATGTTCCCAGCGTGGCGGCTGGCTGTTGGCTCTGAAGTGTGTGAATGTACTTAACCTTCAGTAACCTTCCCATTGTTTACTTCAGAGCATACATCTGTAGCTTCTGGCAAAAGGTGGGGATATCCTAGAGAGCGTGTCAGGCCTCATGTTAATGGTGTTTCAAGAGGTTGCATTCCTTTTTTCTTTCTTTTTTTTTCTCCCTGAAGGGGAAGAATTGCTGGCAAGAGAAAGATTTTTATTTTTTTTTCCAACTGCATATTTCTGTTCTGGTAAATAAAGGGTCTTTCCTGAAAGCAGTACGTACTTCCATGCAGGCTTTCCAAGGAACAAGCCGCGCCAGCGCTGTAACTCCACACTGTCAAGAATGACGCGTGCCATGGAGCGAACTGTGGAAGAGTTTTGTGGGACCTCACCCTCCCACTGGCGAAGATGTTCATTTTATTTCATTTTGGATGGGTTTTCTGTCGTTAAAAGCATATGCTGACAAACCCGTTACGGCACTTGAAAGACAAGTGTCGCCTCAATGCGGATGTGGGATGAAGGATTCGGTAGCTGTGCACGCACAGGTTCTTTCCTGGATGTCCCTGAGTCAGCGGCAGAGATTCCCTATTCTAAACGAACACTGTTGTTTGTCTTCCTTCTTAGTTCATTGTTTAACACTGAAGCTTCAGAAGCACTTGAAGGGATAGGGTTTCTATTTCAGGATGTCATCAAGCATCTGTCATAATAAAAACCCTGCAAGGATAGATGTAAGAAGTTCAGAGAGCGGCTTAGGAAGTGTGAAATTTAAGGTGAAACATGAAAAGCGAATATGGTACTTTCTTTAAGAGAACTGTTTTCATATCCTTTAACTAGAAAACGTTGCTAATAGCAGTGTGTGTGCAATGCATGTGCGAGAGGACGTAAGTAGTTTGCATTTAACAGGTGTGCATGCAGGCACCTGTGTGCGTGTGCTGCGTCCAGAAACCAAAGTATATTGCTTTGGTGCAAAACCAAGTGCTCAAAGGTTAGGAAGTGCCAAAAGCGAGACACAATCTTTGGGACCTTCATTATGTTTCCTTGTGCAGATACAGCTGAATACACTCGTAATTATGCAGCCACATTGAGACTTGTTCCCGGGAAATGCCTCTGCCGTTCAGCGCTTGGAATGACCAGCGCTCAGTGAATGAGGAGCTGTGCAGTATTTTGTGCTGTCCTCACTTTTCAGTACACAGCCCTTACTTGTGCCACCGTTTTCAACCAGGCTCAAACAGAGAGTTAGACATTCACTCCTTGGTCTTTCTCATCTTCACTGCAGCTGTATTTGAGGGCTATAGAAAGTATTAATCAGCCCTTGCGATACCCATCTGAGAGGGAAAGTACTGTGATACCCATTCTGCAGAAGAGGAACTGTGCTACCAGAAAACGTACAACATGAGTATCCGCTAACACTGGGTGCCAGTTTTCTAAGTTTAGCCATGCGTAGCCCTTTATAGGATCCCATCTGTTGCCTTACATGTTCTGCACAGCTGGAAAACGGTGTCTCTAAACAGGCTCTCTGAGTAAAGGAACACACACACCTAAGAACCTTGTGCCAAATTAGATTTCACCTATATGCCCAGTGCTGGACTCTTCCTGGTGTTGAACTCTGTCTCTTTATCCAGCCACTTATGGTTCTTCCCCTGTGCTTCAACTCTCCTTAGGTACAATTTCTGGGCTTTCTTGTGTTCTTGTTGTGTAGTACCATGTCCGTGCAACATCAGGCTTCTCAGATTCTAATCTGATCTCAGTGGCATCCGTATCTCCTGTCCAGGTTGCCAGTCCCCTTGTCAGTCCCCTTCTATACCCCTTTCCTGTTGGTGGTCAGAAACCCCGTGACCTGGCCTGTGCTTGCCAACGTCCAGCTGGGACTGTGAGAGCTTGTGTGGGGTGGTTCCTGGCTGTAGGCTCTTGTGCTCAGCTCCCAGGAGCCAAATCGCAGTGAGAGTCCTGCTCACTCCCAGCCTGAAAGACCTACAGACAGGATCTTAGAAAACCAAGCAGTGAATGTATAGCAATCTCTACATATAGAAAGTATAGCAAGCTAATAATCTCTACCTATAGAATGTATAGCAAGCTAATAATCTCTACATATAAGCAGGTATTTTTCATAAATTCCTTTGATCAAATCAGAATAAGGCAAGAGCATTTTCTCTGTCACAGCACGTCCCAAACATTACCACCAAGTCTCTTCTTTAAACAAAGAAGGGATCTCTGGTGCTGTGTGTGAAAAAGGTGTCCAACTACCTATTTGGCTTGGAAGGCTCACAGAAAAATATTTCTCTTTTGGGGATGGCAGAAGTGGACCGTATATTTCTGCAGGCATACGCTTAAAAAAAGCTGTTCGGTTACAGATGACATTTTCCAAAACAAAATTGGTTTGACGGGACTATCCATTAGGATGACTTCCTGATGATTGGCTGAAGTTTGGCAAAGGTACTGAAAATCATATCCTACAAGAGAAAGTTCGGTTTCTTCTGAAATTGTACCTGCGCTACTGGCAGTAACCATGAAGAGTACATACTTACTTATTCTTACCCAAAGAGTGTGCTATTTACACTGGTGCTATTACTAAAATACATAGATGGACTATTATGTGGCCTGTGAGTGTGTGACACAGAAATAATTGTCTTTGCTGTTGCTTGTAGGTCATATCCATGCTTGGGCTCTTCTCAGTAGCTGCTGACCTAATCCAGAGACTGAACCACTTGCAGTCCCTATTTTTTCCTTTTAAGCCTTTCCTTATCTAAGCAGATTAGATAAAACACATTGTTAGTCATAATAAAGATTCTGTATCCATGCAGCCCATAAATACTGAAAACACATTTCACTTGTTTTCTTAAGTTTACTTTAGATGTGAATTAAGTTCTTGCTCAGGTAGGATAGGGAAGAACTTAATTGCTGCTTAATAGCCCGCCATAAGATAAGTGTGCAGGGTTAGGCAATATCATACTTTGCAGTGAGTATGTGGGTACACTAAGGTATTTATTTACATATTTCTAATATAACAGGATGGTATGTGACAATGTGTAGCTTAACTCAGAAATGCTTTCAAGCTTTTAGAAGTAATCTGGAATTGTGTTTAGAGCTCAAGGGCAGGAGAGTGATCCTGGGCTCACTCAGGGGTCATCTATACAAAGGGCTCATTTTATGTGAACATGATGATTTTTTTTAAATATGTAATGGATTTGTTTTATTATAGCACTAAAGCCTCCAGTCATAGAATCACAGACTGGTTTGGGTTGGAAGGGACCTTAAAGACCATCTAGTTCCAACCCCCCTGCCATGGGCAGGGACACCTTCCACTAGACCAGGTTGCTCAAAGCCTCGTCCAGCCTGGCCTTGAACACTTCCAGGGATGGGGCATCCACAGCTTCTCTGGGCAACCTGTTCCAGCGCCTCACCACCCTCTCTGGGAAGAACTTCATCCTGATACCTAATCTAAACCTCCCCACTTTCAATTTAACCCCGTTACCCCTTGTCCTGTCACTACAGGCCCTTGTAAAAAGTCTCCCCCAGCTTCCTTGTAGCCCCTTCAGGTACTGGAAGGTGCAATAAGGTCTCCCCGGAGCCTTCTCTTCTCCAGGCTGAACAAGCCCAACTCTCTCAGCCTGTCCCCATAGCAGAGGTGCTCCAGCCCTCTGAGCATCTTCGTGGCCTCCTCTGGACTCGCTCCAACTGGTCTGTGTCCTTCTGATGTTGTGGGTTCCACAGGTGGACGCAGGACTCCAGGTGGGGTCTCACAAGAGCAGAATCCCCTCCCTCGACCTGCTGGCCAGACTTCTCCTGATACAGCCCAGGATACGGGTGGCTTTCTGGGCTGCCAGCGCACACGGCCGGCTCGTGTTCAGCTTTTCATCCACCAGTACCCCAATACAGTCAACTCTAGTGTTAGTTGTTGCCAATGTTGCTGTTACTGTATGAATCAATCAGAGAGCTTTTCTTCAACTTTTTTTGAACCTCATTACTAGGTGAGCCTAATCCAAACGTGCCTCAGAAAGTTGAGGACAAGTACAACGTGGTCTGCAACAATGTGGATTTTACATATACACTTGCTGCTGAGGCTGATCTCCAGATAGTGGAACACGTGTTACAGATATAAATGAAACACATACAAAAAAGGGTGTTCTACAGTTAAAAACAGGCTCTGACTGTCAAGATGATGAGTGTTCTAGGATTCTGAGTCAATTATAAACTACTCTCTCATTCACACACAGAAGAAAGCCCATACTGCTTGTTCCAATTTTCCCTCTAACAGTAATTTATAAAGTTTTGTTAATTGGTTGTTGAATGTAGATAGGCAGGTGCTATAAAATGCTGACATGACAGTTCATAAAAAAGAAAGACCTCTCAAGCCAAAGCCACGTCTTTCTGAGTCTATCAGATTTGTGATTTTTTTTGTGTTGGTAATTTTTTTTCTCCCATCTAAAGATTTGAATCCTACGTGTACTCCTTGGGTAGAACTTCTGCTCCAACGCCAGTCAGGTCCAAGGCTTAGATGCTGCTATGAATTCCCACTTAACCACTTTTAAATTAGAAAACTGCTACATCAGGTCTTCGGGGTTGGGTGGTGGTTCTCCTCAAGAGTCACATGAAAATAGGAACTTCAGTGTCTACTGCAAAACACTGATCTGGATGTATTTTATCACTGACTTAAATCATGTATTCATTTAATGCCTTTATTACTGCTCAGTCTCATTGGGATAGGACAGCACACACTTCTGTGCACTTGTTGTCGTATCAAGAGCGTAGCTGTGTGCCGTGGTTGGTGAAGGAGGACAGCAGTGGAGGTTACGGTATCGCTTTCTGAGATCTCAGCGCAGCAGTTTCTGCAGACGAAATCGATGCTTTGCAGAACTGACCTGGTCTTGTTGCATATGCTCCTAACTACATTTTGTTAAGATGTCCATTGCTGTTTTTACAGTTGGATTAGGAGTGTGACCTATAGCCTCCTGCCCCAATTCTTCTTATCCCAAATTGCCTTTTGCATTGCTTGAATACCATCTTTGCCGTGCATAGGGCTGCAGTGTGCCACTAGTCATTTCCTGTGCTTCACCATGGAAATGTCAGCCTTTTGGTGGTAAATGGAATTACGGATTTATATTAAAACAGCAGTTTAAATCTGTGAGGAAAACCTTCTGGCTGAAGTCTGCCTCCTAAACGGATGTGTTGCGATAGTGATTATACAAAGAAGCTGTACCAAAGAACAACCTTCATTTACTCCCATGTAAACTGTAGACAATTAACTTTGTATCTCTGACCTCTGATTGCAGTGATCCTTCATCTCGATGATTTCTATTCATGTTGCTTCAGGCAGCAGATTAAATTCTAGGAAAGATGATGACTATTACTGTACAGCATATCCTGATCTCAGAGGATTTGGGGAAGTGATAAAGTACTGAGACGCATAGTATAAGCAGGAAAAGTGTGAGGGGGGAAAGAACCAGTTTCCCTCCTTGATGCTTATTATTTCTTCCACAGGAATTTGACTGCTGCCTTTTAATATTTCCCTTTTCTTTAAATTCCCAGCTAATTCTGGTTCCTTGCAAGGCCCACAGACTCCACAGTCTACTGGTAGTAATTCCATGACAGAAGTGCCAGGCGATTTGAAGCCCCCAACACCAGCATCAACACCTCATGGACAGATGACGCCTATGCAGGGTGGCAGGTACGAGAAGGGCTTTGCTTCTTTTTCTGTTGGGCTGTAGTTGTACAACAGTTTAAGACAGACTTTCCCAACCGCTTGGGCACTCATCCGATTCTGTGGTGAACTGGACAGAGCCTTAAAAGCAGCAGAAAATTGTTTCTTCTTGGAGGGGAGAGGAGGAAGGAGTAGGAACTGCGTTAGCTTTCTGAACACCAGAGAAGGATCAGACAAGCACCAGTGCAAAGGGGGCATGTGAATATGTGAAGAGTGGAGAGGAAATTGGAATCCAGCAGCACCAACTTAGAGGCACAACCTTCCTTCCCTCGCTTAGGCCAGCCTCCTCTGGTGTACAGGTCCAGGCATTCATCCTCAGGGAGGAGGAGTGTGTGGGTTTAAGGCATTACTTAAATTCAGATTATGGAAAGAGTAAATAATAGCAGTGGTTGAGGTAGCAGGGGATTCAACCGGATGGACCCAGAGATCGCTTTCAGCTCGGTGTCCCGCAAGTCACACACTCCAGCTTCATCTGAAGTGAAGCCTTCTCACCACTTGCCCATTGAAGTCCAGCGAAAGAAGTTCTTGCTGACTTCAGCGTGGATGTGGCTGAGCTCCGAACTGTGCACAGAGTCACTCCAACGTACTTAGGTTCTTTTTTTTCTCCATCTGTAATACTGCAGAATGGATGACAAGAAGCTTTTTTAATCCTCTTTTGTTCTGATGTAGTTTCCTTTCACTGTGTAAAAATTTTCTTCTGCATTAAGAGTAAATCTGATAGTTATTAGGGAAACTCCATTTTCCAAGCCAAATTTTTAAGGGCTTTAGAATAAAGCTGGCTGCAGCTGTAAAGGTTAGTGCCTCTCCGTAACAGTAAATGGTATCTGGGAGGTAAATCAAGCGTTGCTGTTTAGTCTTTCCTCTAGTAGGGGAAAGCAGTGGGGTGCTTGGTAAATTTGAAAGGTAATAAATATGAAACTGATAAAAAGTAATACTGTTTAGACACAGCATATAGTTAGCGTGTGGAGCTCACTGCCTTGGGGTGGTCAGGCAAACCGTTGAGTGAAGTTTCAGAAAGGCTTAGACTTTGATATGAGTAACAGGAACACGCACAGTTGAAGTTAAACCCCCTCTTCTTTAAGGTAAGTCGCCAGTTCAGCTTGGGGAAAGAAATGGGTAGATGTTTTTAATGATGGTCCATTCTGAAAGTTTGTTGCACCTTGCTCAGGCGCATCCTGCCCTGCTCAGTGCCACAGCATCGTGGGCCAGCTGTGTGACAGCCCCGTCTGTTTTCTCAGCTCTTACGAATACATGACAAGGTTAATGCCTCCTTTTCCTCACCCACTAGAAACAGTGCGGTCAGTGTGCACGATCCCTTTTCTTTTTTTTTGGCATTCCCGAAGCGCAACTCCATGACGCCAAATGCACCATACCAGCAGGGAATAAACATGCCAGATATGATGGGAAGGATGCCATATGAGCCGAATAAAGATCCTTTCGGTGGAATGAGAAAAGGTATTTTCTTTGTGGGAGCTTAAGTGTTCTTCCCTCCTTCTGTGTGATCAAGATGTTCTGGTCGTCACAACGAGCTTTTTCCCTTTGCTGATCTTGCCACTGGTAAGACCGTATCCTTGCAGCAAAAAGAGAGGTGCAGTGCGGTTGTGCTTCAGCCTGCTCATGTTTTCCCCCCTCAGAGCTGCGTTGCTTTAGACACTGTTTATTTCAGCCTTAACCCTAAAAACGCCTGTAGGAATACATTCCAGGAAATGGTATAAATTGACAGGGTTAGATTCTGGGAAATGCTGCATGTGTCATGAAGGTGGTTAGCTGCTCTGCAGATCAGACGCGGACTTCAGCGTCAGAACGTGGAACAGCGTGCCTGGTTGTGGTAGGGCTGAACTGGGAATTCACTGTGCAGAAATGAGCAGGTCCCCTAATGCTCTCTGTCTCAGCTCACGTATTTTTCAGAACAGGAAAGCTATTTTTTTTTTCACTTGAACAGCCCCTGAGAAATGGTGATAAACACACTCAGAGTGTGTTTATTTTTAGAAAGCAAAAGTTAGAGTTAATGTCAACACCTGACTCTTGTCCTTTCGGGCACTTTACCTACAGATGGTTTTGTGGATAGATTCACTTTAGGTTTTATATCCATGTGAGATTAAGTGGGTTTATTGAACTTTGTTGTATATTTCACACTTACCCTGTTGAAACAGAAATGTCCCTGTTCGGTATCTACTATGAGGGACTAAAGAATAGAGTCTCTTCTTCCTTTTGCTTGGGGATTTATAGCCAGTGATAGGGGTCAGTGTGCCTTTTCTTGGACACACAGAGTATGGCCCATTCTGCTCGAGAAGCTGCCTTAGGATACGACATCCATTCCTTAACTAAATTATGGTATCAGTGTGTGTATGAGGGCTTTATGGGACAAAGAAGAGCCTGATTCTGACAGCTTTGTATCCAAACTAGGAGGTTTACTTTCATCTGCTCTGTGAGGTCTGTGTTTGCATTCACCCTTAGCATTGTTCGGGGTGAAAAGAACAAGAGCGAATTCATCTTCAGCTATGAAGACCACAGGGAAGAAGCTTCCTGGTGCCTGATGAGCTCAGTTCCATAGGATGAAATTACTTTCCTCGCTTGCAACTCCTTAATATTATAACCATCGCCTTGGTAGCAGTTCTGCTTCATGTGTTTTCGTCAGGCTCTGGAGAGCCTGGCAGACAATTCTCCTTGGCAGTGTTAGGGATCTGAACATTATTTTAAAATATATTGTTTGAGAGAAAGATGTCTTCAAACGCCCAGAATATTATATTTAACTTCCCTTACCGTTGCAGTGCCTGGAAGCAATGAGCCTTTCATGACCCCTGGACAGATGCCTAACAGTGGAATACAAGATATGTATAACCAGAGTCCATCAGGAGCAATGTCCAACATGAGCATGAGCCAGCGGCAGCAGTTCTCCTACGGAAGTGGCTATGACAGGAGGTGAGTCAATCTTCAGGAAAACGCCAAGCCCATTAGTGAAAATGATCCTCTCTCTCCCCTTCTCATTTTCCCACTGCACCTTGCAGAGAATGTGGCAGCCTACCTTTCCTACAGCGTCTTATTACATCACTGGGAGTCAAACTGTTGGTAATGACTGAGTCTGGCTGCTTGCAGAAATTAATAAGGAGGAATTGTCGCACCTTAGAAGTCACTCGAGCTGCCGCAGATCAGCACGTGGGTGTGTTTGACAGCTGCCTGCAGCTGGGCTCTGGTGGCATAAAGTAGCGCTTGAGTTCGTGTTCTGGCCGTATTTTCATCTAAACAGTTGTCGGTGGGCTTTTCATAACAAACGAAACGCACAGCCCAAAGATGTCTGGTTTGTGGTCTGTAGTTAGCGAGTTGCCTTTGGTGAGCATACAGTCTGTGCTCTGAGCTGTAGGGACACCGGTCTTACAGCGTGTCCATCAGACCCTCATCAGTTTGTCTTTCCGTGGAGTACACAAAATAGCCTTGGTCCTCTTCTGTTTATCCCGGGAAAGGCTTTGGGGAAAAAAAGCCTCAATAAAACTACTGGTGTCTAAGCATTGGTATAGCAAGCAGAATGGTTTGGGAATGTTTGGATTATGTTAAGTATTCTGGTAGGTTTTATAGCTCTGGCTGTATTCCTACTTTCACTTTCATCAGGCTCTGTACTTTAGCTTCACTTTCTGTTTCCTGATGGTAGCCAGAGCGGTGTAGTGTGGGTCTTTCAAGTGTAGCAGTGGAGTGGTTCTCAGTCAGTAGTTTGTAGACGCATAGAATAACACAGGTGTAATCGTGGTGTTCAACAGGTCACATTGCTGGGGAGTCAGCGAGAGCAAGGGTTCCACTGGAAGGGGATAAGCCAAGAGAATGTTTTCCTTAAGGGGTGTGTTTTGTTTTACGTTGTTGGCAATTTTGGAGAATAAGTGCTTTTTACGGAATGAGGTTTCCTTTGTCATTTTTTAGGTCGGATCATGGGCTGGGTCCTGAAGGCAGTATGGGACCACCTGGTCAAAGCAACATGGTGCCTTCAAACAGTGACCCAAGCATGTACTCTCCTAATCGTTACCCTGGCCAGCAAAGGTGAACACTGATTTCTCTGTTTGTAATATCTGCAGTAACCAGCTAACAAGTGCTAGCAGCCTCTGTGAGAGCACATAGACAGAATATGTGACCTCTTGGTGCCTTACTTCTCTTTTGTCTGTTCTTATTGAGGCCTTTTCCATTGGCTCAGTTTCCTATGGGGGCAGAGGCTTGGGTGAAATCAGTTGGCTTTGTGTGGCTGTAGAATCAGAAGTGTCAGAAAAGGAGTACATGTCCTACCTTGTGTATTTCCATGCCAGCACTGAACTAGAACATATGTTATAGGCCCAAGTTCTCCAGCTTCTTCCACAACTCCACCTGGCTGGTGGTTATCCTGTGGCTAACAAATGGAACATGACATGACAAGGGGTAATGGGTTTAAACTGGAAGTGGGGAGGTTTAGATTAGATATCAGGAAGAAGTTCTTCACAGAGAGGGTGGTGAGGCTCTGGAACAGGTTGCCCAGAGAAGCTGTGGATGCCCCGTCCCTGGAAGTGTTCAGTGCCAGGCTGGATGAGGCTTTGAGCCACCTGGTCTAGTGGGAGGTGTCCCTGCCCATGGCAGGGGGGGTGGAACTAGATGGTCTTTAAGGTCCCTTCCAACCCAAACCAGTCTGTGATTCTACGATTTAGAGAGCGTTCCCTTATTTGTAACATACATGTACCTTTGCTCAGTTTTGTCTTACTGGGCATGTACCACCTTGGACAACTGTAGACAACTCCCATCAGTTAGATTGTTCTTGTAACTGGCATGAGGTAATTTCTCTCCATCCACATTGTAATTTTAGGAGATACTGAACAGCTGCTGCTTTCACTCGGGTCAACTCTCAAAAATCCTGAGTTTTCTATGCTTTTGGAAAAGTGCTATTAGTTCTTTTAACACGTCAGGTTCCCCAGTCCTCTGTTTCTCTGACTCTCCCTGATATATCACTTCCATGATTATACTCAAATTATAGATGTGTCCTCATTGGTAGGGCACAGAGAGGAATTACTGACATAGTGGTCTGCAGTACAGTGTTACTTATCAATCTTAATGCTTTCCAAGTGCTTCATTTCAGCAACTTACATCTCATTCAGATGTGCTTAAAAATATTGCAGTTGCACTGTAGTGCTCCTCAGAGGTCTTAAAGGCCACAGGTAAGTTTCCAAGTGCAACGCAACTCTGCCTCTTACATGTACACTTCATTATGTAGCTTTAATTAAAAATTACGTGAACATCAGCGAAATTGAGTACTGTTTTTACTTGGGAATGATAAATGTTCTATATTGTAGTGAAATTTGTACTCACTTTCTGTGACTGTCATCAGACTAAAATCATGATTTCACTTTAAATCAGCAGTTAACTATTGATTATATTCTTAAATAATCCAGAAAGTCGCTTGCTTGGAGACTGACTTGCAACCTTTGAACTGTGCATCAGACACTTTTCCACCCAGGATGGGTTCCCAGCAGCTGCAGCTGCCTTTCTCACCTCTTCGCCAACCGTACCCTTTTCCCACTCCTGACTGCTACCTCTGAATCTCTCTGTTACGTCGTTACTGCTCCTCCTTTCTTCTTCCTGCTTTACCTTCTTCCTTCCACTGCCAGCTCCAGCAGAGCTTACTGCATCAGGCTCAGGACCGCTGTACCTTCACCTTGTTTCCAAAACGGCACGTTCCTTCAGGGTGCCAGGATCATCAGAGTACTTTTCCTGGTGGCTTGGAAATTCCAGCTCTAAGTGTTGATTTGAATGTTTCATTTCAGGCATGAACCATATGGGCAGCAGTATCCAGGACAAGGACCTCCCTCAGGACAGCCACCATATGGAGGACATCAACCTGGAATGTATCCACAGCAGCAGGTACGAGAGGAGAAAGCAGCTATATTCATAATGTTTGCTTAATATATGTCACCCCCACGTTCTGTATACGTTCAGAAATCTCTTTAGACAATATAAGTCTTTTGGCACAGAGAGGAGAACTGCAGTTCCGGTCAGTGTCACAGCCCATATGGATAAGCAGTGTACACGCAGCTATAGGAAAACGTGTTCATGATGCCGGATGAGTGTAAATTTTAACAGATGTTCTGTGGCTTTGGATGTGTGTCAAGTGATGGTCCCAGGTTAATGACCAGCAGACTAGGGAAGTGCAGTCTTCCCTAGTAAAGTGATGCTAGTAAAAACAGATGTTCTGTGGCTTTGGATGTGTGTCAAGTGATGGTCCCAGGTTAATGACCAGCAGACTGGGGAAGTGCAGTCCGTAGGCTAGTAAAGTGATGCTGCCTCAATTCCAGAAACAACTGGGAAAGCTGCTTGGCTGGCAGGTTGAAGGGCCTTGACTTCGTGTCATGCAGCCAAGCGAACCCAGCAGAAAAGTTGAACAAAGTAAAACGTGCAACACTGAATTATTTGGAATGCTGGGGCGGGTCATCCGAGATACCCGTCTTTAATACAGATTAGATGGCATATTCCCCACGTTACTTCTAGCAACAATATGGTACAAATACACCAGAGAGAACATTATTAGCATTAAAAATAGTTTAAACATTTGTAGATTCCAGTCTGTATAATAACTTTGAAAATACATATTATATTAATTAATGACATTTTTTAGTTAGGTGTATCATTAATACCTTATGGGCAAAATCCCATCTTATAAGTCCACAGTAAAACTCCACTGACTTCAACAGGATCAGAGTTTCTTCCTGTGTGTTAATTCATTTCTGGTCATAGAGTAATTAAAGTTAGTTTCCAAAATAGAAAGCCTTTCCTTATAATACAAAAATCTAAATGTAAGCTAGTTTTCAGCCAATTTCAGATAGTCCTTTTCAGATTGGAATATAGTTTTACTAGGACACCGGGGGATGCGCACACACTCCTCCTGAAGGAGGAGATCTTAGGTTGCACCATACTGAAAATGTATATAAATTACAGAATTTCGTGCTTAGTTCCGTGGTTCATAACATCTCTAAGACAGCGTCATCAAAAACCTGTTTTTTTGTTCTTTATGGTGAGCATATGCTAGCAGTCTAGGTGATTTAGTGGGGAAATGGCAAAGGTACAGAACAGAACAGGGTGTGATATTCCATGCCGGCGTATGCAGGGAATACATGAACCCCGTTTAAGCAAGGAGACAGCTAGAATCTGTAAAAATATGTTTGGCCCTGTCCTCAGTGCCGTTTATGTGCCTGGTACAGTGACTCCTGAATGCGAAACGCATTAATGCAAAAAAGCAGTGAAGAATGAAGGGCAGGGCTCCTAGCCGGCCTCCCACTCCCAGAGGATTCCACTTCTTCATTTAGCTACAGATTAGGTTGTCACTAGCTTGTATCCAATTTCCTAAATCTCGCCCTGTAGTGGTACAGGAAGAAGGTGAAAAATGGCCCTCTCGAAGCTTTATCTACAACCTGAAGGTTAGGGAATGACCTGGGAAGGAGGTGCTCGAAGCGTGAACTCCTGGGGCTAATGAAGCACTTTGAGCCAGGCTTTTCAATTCCTGAACGAATGCTCGTGCCCGGAGAGCTGCTCTGCAGCAGGTGACCTGTGTTGGCAGCTTGTCTGCTGCGAGGTCTCCGCATTGCACATCCTGATGGAGAGGGACGCGCTGTGTGGCCTCGGTCTCCCCCTGAACCTTTACGCAGGATGGGGAGTTGAGGCGCAGCGCTGCCCTCGGCACTGGGTGTACCACCCGGCTTGTTGCCCACCACACAAGGGCGCTGAACTGCTTTGAGAGGCACTTGCTTCCTTCCCGGGTGTCTACTCCGAGCGCTCCGAGCTGCTCTGGCAAAACACACACCGCCTTTTTAGGTGTGGCAACTGCCGCGTCAGTTCTTAACGTAGAAATTGGCCCCAAGGGTGGCATTTACTGCAGCAAATAGTTTATATAAGGCTGAGAAGCGGTGTTTCTCAGGTAGCCAGACAGCTCTATAGCAAGTTTTAAAAAAAAAAGTGCTTTCATGCAATTCAGTAGTTGTGGGTTTATGTGCAGCAAAGTTAGGAGATGAATTTATGAATCCCAGAGCTGTTTTAACTGACCCATATTGAATACCTACAGAATTTTATCTGATCTTAACTCTGGTACATTAGTATACATTGTGCACTGTGACTGAGCTACAATTTCCGGGGGAGCCATAACTTTGAATTTGCCATAGATCATATATTCAAAAATCATCCATTTAATTCACAATTTTTGCTTCAGAGCACTCAGTGTGGTTTGAACTGTGGAACAAACTCCCACAGGAACTAAAGGCCGCCGCAAACCTTACCACCTTCCCCTCAAACCGCAGCATGTCTTTTGTTGTTCTGCTGTCTTAAACATAAATACGTACAAGCCTGTGTGATGGTTTAAAAACAACTCGGTACCCCCAGGGTGAAACAGCTTACCTCACACAGCATTCCCCACTGGAGGGGGTGAGAAACAGGCAGGGAATAAGCCATCGGTGGCAGCTGTTTGTTACATTGCTTAATTATCACCGATCAGCAGCCAGGTAAGAACCTGCATACACTAGAACAGAACACTTGTATGTGACCGTTTCCTGTAATAATCTCCGGGTAAATTGAATGTGATTGGGACGGGGCGTGGTTGCCCAAACAGGGCCGCGTTCCTGGGAATTACACAGAGTAGCAAATGCAGCAGAGTGTTTTCTCCAACTGATAAATTCACCGTGTGTAGGCCGTGTCCTGTCTTTCAGACGTGTGTGCTCACAGCGTATCCTGTTAAGAGTTCATTCGGTGCCTGTCTCTTGAAAAGATTCCTGGAGTGGGTTTGAATTTTTCTAAGATGTTTTTTCTTCTTAGTAGAATAAGCATAAAAAAGAAGTGAAAATATTTTAGTTGGTGAGGACTGTTGCCTTTTCACACACGTCTGAAACAACCAGTGCAACTGAACCTGACAGATTGGAAGGGGAAAGGGAGATGATGGACCAAGCATTAAAAAAAAGTACTCCAAGGATAAGCTTCCTCTTAGTATTAAGTTGTAAGTGGAGCAGAAGAGGGGCTTGATAAGAAAGCACTGGCTGAAGCCTAGCCATAGCACTCTGGAATCACCACGATCCCTCTACATCGGCTTTTTAAATGAGCTTCTGTGTCTGGAGTGAAAGTGACGCCTCTTTTTTCCAAAACTGTTTTTCAGAACTACAAGCGACACATGGACGGCATGTATGGGCCTCCAGCCAAGCGCCACGAAGGGGACATGTATAACATGCAGTATGGCAACCAGCAGCAGGAAATGTATAACCAGTACAGCAACGCTTACACGGGGCCTGACCGGAGGCCCATGCAGGGCCAGTATCCCTACCCGTATAACCGGGAGAGGATGCAGGGCCCAGGGCAAATGCAGCAGCATGGAATACCTCCCCAGATGATCGGTGGCCCCATGCAGTCGTCATCCTCCAGCGAAGGTCCTCAGCAGAACATGTGGCCGACACGAAACGATATGCCTTACCCTTACCAGAATAGGCAAGGCCCAGGAGGCCCTGCGCAGGCCCCACCGTATCCAGGGATGAATCGCACTGATGATATGATGGTCCCTGACCAGAGGATAAACCACGAGAGTCAGTGGCCTTCTCATGTCAACCAACGTCAGCCTTCTTATATGTCATCCTCAGCCTCCATGCAGCCTATCACTAGACCGCCTCAGTCATCCTACCAGACACCACCCTCTATGCCAAACCACATCTCTAGAGCTCCAAGTCCAGCATCCTTCCAGCGCTCTTTGGAAAACCGTATGTCTCCAAGCAAGTCTCCTTTCCTACCCTCCATGAAGATGCAAAAGGTTATACCCACGGTTCCAGTGTCACAGGTCGCAGGACCGCCACCCCAGCCGCCACCGATTAGGCGAGAAATTACCTTCCCCCCAGGCTCTGTAGAAGCGTCCCAACCAGTCTTAAAACCAAGACGAAAGATTACCTCAAAAGATATTGGTAAGCATCAAAACAAAAGCCAAATACCAACATAGGTTGGGAGAAAGAGACTTGGATTTTGATTTTCTCCTACATTTTAGGACTACTTTGACAGATAATTAACTTTGGTAACTGTAGCGTGATTGTCTTCAGTAAAAGTGTAGTGACATATGCATCGGTGAGGACGATAGGTAAAACTCAGCCCAGCCAGTCTGACATGAAATAAAAGCGGTATTTTATATGGAGACCTGAGGTCTCCAGAAGCGCATTAAAAATGAAGCTTGCCTCAGATTTCCTAACGCTATGTGTTGAAAGGCCCTTCGGAACGTCTGTTAGATCACCAGTACCGCATTTAGCGGAGCAGAGCTTTCCGTGTTCTTGTTGCATGGAAGCTCTTCTGTTGTGTAGTTACAGTCTGTCTTCCTTGAATGGCTCATTTACCCATTCCATACTATTTGCCACATTTGTTTCTCCCCCTTTTCTTTCCCAAGTATCTTCTTATCTCAAATTCCTGTTCCATTTCATACATTCCAGTTCTCATACTTCCAGTTCCCACGCTCCTGACAGAGTATTCTCCCTTTATTTACCGACTGTTTGGTTCAGTCAACTTCTGTAAGTTTGCACAATTATTTTGGCTTCAGCGGAGTCGGGGCTTCATTGGCCCTGTTTAGGTCATCTCCAGTATTAAGGCTGAGCAGCAGCTACAGCAGACACGAACTGGGCCGACTGGTGAAGGCAGGGCCTTAACCACTGTTTCAGTAACTATTCCATTTAAATTCAGAATGTCACAGTTTAATCTTTCAGAACTCATTAACGGTCTCCAAGGATGCACTAATCCTGTTTTCCTTCTCCTTCCTTTCTCCAGTAACTCCTGAGGCCTGGAGAGTGATGATGTCTCTTAAATCTGGTCTTTTGGCTGAAAGTACCTGGGCGCTAGACACTATTAATATTCTTCTGTATGATGACAGCACTGTTGCTACTTTCAACCTCTCTCAGGTAGGTGGGAAAGCAGTATGCTCCTCAACTTCCCAAGGAAAGAAACCGGAAATAAGACACCTACAAAAACGCTGAAGTCCTTTAAAATGGATTACAATTAATGTGAATTTGAATATTGCAAAACTTCCCTTTTTTATGACTGGTAACAGTGGGCAACAAGAGAGAGCTTTAGGTTGAGCAGGGGAAATAATGAGCCTGAAGGAAGGATATCTCTTGGAGAAAAGAGCGTGTAGGAATATTTTAGCGCTGACGGAAGACTAATGTGTAAATTCACAATCACGATAGCACAAGGACAATCCCAAAAAACCACCAGTACGATAGTAATCTTGCTTAACTTGTGTTTCCACAAAAGGCTTTGCAAAACGATATTAAATTGATTTGAGGCTGTCTTTTGGTGGCTGTCTTATTCAGTAGTTCCATACTAGGCTGTGGGATTTTTTTTAAAATTGCTTATTTTCTATTCAGTTTCTTCTTCCAGTAAATGCTTTGCACAGAAATACCCCACTGACAGTTTAAAGTCTAAATTCCACTGTCTGTCCGCAGGATGCAAGTAGCATGGGATTTAACCGTGTGTGCTTTTGCCTCGCTACCTCCCAGAATTTTCCAGCCCGGTGCCCTGCTCTAACCGTTAGCCTGCGAGGTGGTAGTAATCGATGGCATGCTGATAATGCACATCATCTAAAATTTGTACAAATTAAATACTCAGTTTCTCTGCTCCATTCATTCCTTGGTTACAAATAGCGTAACTCATAATTTTTTTAATATAATGACTTTTTTTTTTTTAAATGCAGGCACAAATGGTACATTTCATCCCACCTAACTTTAGAACTAGGGATATCTATAGCATGATTCATCTCATCCTGAAGTAGAGATCTAAAATAGGTCAGATGAATCATACCCTAGAAATGGCCTGTAAAAGACCATTATAAAAGGAATCTAGACAATTAGGTTAGGTGTGTAACTCTTGCGGGTGGTTGAAGGTAAGTGAGATGAATCTCCCCTGAATTCTATTAGAAATTGCATTAACGCACCCCATGCAAGTTGCGGCATATTTTAAACACACATTTGGTTGTTGCTTTTGTCTTGGAGTCTGTTTCCAATGGCAGTCAGGACCCCAGAATGTGACTGATAATTCCTGCAGTCCATATGCATCAGTTTGTTGTTAATTCTTTGAGGGTTTGGCAGTGGTAGGAAAATACAGAATGGACAAAAGGATACGTTTTGCTGAAAACCTATTAGCCCACAATTTAAAAAAAAAAAAATATTTTAAATGAAAAGCCAGATAATCATGCTGAATACATCATAACAGCAAAGAATTACCCTCAGCCACTGAGGGTAGATTAATGCCAATCCAAGTACTGCCTTGCCATAGGAAAGTGATTACAGGTTAATTAAGAGGATTACACCTACATAAAAACTGTGTCTGAAGGGTGACTTGCAGCACCAGGCTCCAATAACAGTTTTTAAATATTGGCAGGCAAAAATGGAACTAATTCGTTAGAGATGGAGTATTAACCTAAACTGTCTGAACTGCAGATTCCTACAGGACAGGTGGGTTTAAAGACTGAGAGACAAAGGAGGAGGGGAAAAGGTGCAAACTAGAGGCACCTAATAAAAAAGTACAAATCAGAAAAAGTGGGTTAGAAAGTTCAGTACTCTGTACGGAAAACAAAGAATACGAGACACTTCCAAGGGGACTGACCCGCTAGGCTAGGTGTCTGCTGCAGCTTAAAGGAGACACGTGAATAAAGCTCCTGTGGTTGTTACAGTTTAAGCCAGTGGAGCCACGCTAGTTTGACGTCATGCACTGCTTGGGCAGACGCTAGAAAAACGCCCTTCGATTAACTTCTGCTGTGCAGGACCTAGCCACAAGTCCACAGCAGGAGGGAAATACTCACAGAGGTATATGCATCGGTGTTCCTAAGAAAATTCCATGCAGATGAAAATGTTTATCTGATTCTTATGTTCTTTCTTCTCCCCTCAGTTGTCTGGATTTCTTGAGCTTTTAGTAGAATATTTTAGAAAATGCCTGATTGACATTTTTGGAATCCTTATGGAATATGAAGTGGGAGATCCAGGCCACAAAGCACTTGATCACAAAGCAGCCAAGAAAGATGATAGCCAGTCCTTGGCAGGGGACACTGGAAAAGAGGAGAACGACGAATGTATTGACTATTTTGATGAAGAGGAGGAGGAGGGGGATGATGAAAAGGTAGAAGGAGAAGAAAAGAGCATTGTTTTTTCCACTCCTGGTGCCATTGCTGACCCAAGTGAGAGGCCAAAACAAGCCAGTAAATTTGACAAGCTGCCAATAAAGATTGTAAAGAAAAATAATCTGTTTGTTGTTGACCGATCTGACAAACTTGGACGCGTTCAGGAATTTGATAGTGGACTTCTCCACTGGCAGCTCGGTGGTGGTGACACAACTGAGCATATCCAGACTCACTTTGAAAGCAAGATGGAGATTCCTCCCCGCCGGAAAGCCCCTCCTCCCTTGAACTCTCCAAGCAAAAAGAAGGACCTCGAGGGGAAAGGTGAATCTGAGGAACAGCAAGAAAAAAGTATAACAGCAACCATTGATGATGTCCTCTCGGCTCGGCCAGGAGCGTTGCCGGAAGACTCAAACTCCGGTTCCCAGACAGAGAGCAGTAAATTTCCCTTTGGGATCCATCAAGCCAAAAGCCACCGGAATATTAAACTGCTAGAGGATGAGCCAAGGAGCCGGGATGAGACTCCTCTATGCACCATAACTCACTGGCAAGACTCCTTGGCCAAACGCTGCATCTGTGTGTCAAATATCGTCCGTAGCTTGTCTTTTGTGCCTGGCAACGACACCGAAATGTCCAAACATCCAGGCTTGGTGCTGATCCTGGGAAAGTTGATCCTTCTTCACCACGAGCATCCAGAAAGAAAGCGAGCGCCGCAGACTTACGAGAAAGAGGAAGAGGAGGACAAAGGGGTGGCCTGCAGCAAGGATGAGTGGTGGTGGGACTGCCTCGAGGTCTTGAGGGATAATACATTGGTCACGTTAGCCAACATTTCTGGGCAGCTAGACTTGTCTGCTTACACGGAAAGCATCTGTTTGCCAATTTTGGATGGCTTGCTGCACTGGATGGTGTGCCCGTCTGCAGAGGCACAGGATCCTTTTCCAACCGTGGGGCCCAACTCGGTTCTTTCGCCTCAGAGACTTGTGCTGGAGACCCTGTGTAAGCTCAGTATCCAGGACAATAATGTGGACCTTATCTTGGCCACCCCCCCGTTCAGTCGTCAGGAGAAACTCTACGCTACTTTAGTTAGGTACGTTGGGGACCGCAAGAACCCGGTCTGCCGAGAAATGTCCATGGCGCTCTTATCGAACCTTGCCCAGGGGGACACATTAGCAGCAAGGGCAATAGCTGTGCAGAAGGGAAGCATCGGAAACTTGATAAGCTTCCTGGAGGACGGGGTCACTATGGCCCAGTACCAGCAGAGCCAGCATAACCTCATGCACATGCAGCCGCCGCCCCTGGAGCCTCCTAGCGTAGACATGATGTGCAGGGCAGCCAAGGCCTTGCTGGCCATGGCTAGAGTGGACGAGAACCGCTCCGAGTTCCTTTTGCACGAGGGCCGTTTGCTGGATATCTCCATATCTGCTGTCCTGAACTCTCTGGTTGCATCTGTCATCTGTGATGTACTTTTTCAGATCGGGCAGTTATGACATAAGTGAGAAGCCAAGCATGTGTGAGTGGAGATTAGAGGGTCACATATAACTGGCTGTTTTCTGTTCTTGTTTATCCAACGTAGGAAGAAGGAAAAAAAAAATAAAATAAAAAAAAAAAGAATCTTTGCTCCTCTGCCCCATTCACTATTTACCAATTGGGAATTAAAGAAATTATTAATTTGAACAGTTATGAAATTAATATTTGCTGTCTATGTGTATAAGTACATCTTTTTATTTTATTTTTTTTAACCAAAGTTGCTGTCTAGTACATTCAAAGGTCACACTTTTTTTTTTTTCCATAGATTATCCTTTTCAATGTTCTTTTCCATGTTTGTATTGCATATTTTTTGGGAAGCGAACTAGTGACTTTTTAAAAAAAAAAAATGTTATGGCAAACCATTGTATGATGGAAAAAAAATCTCACCACTGAAGCAAAAAGGTGAAAAATAACCAACATACCAAGTTCCTGTGTGTTTTATTTTTTCAAATAAGGAAAAAATAATAAAAAAAAAAACTTGTATACCATCACCCAAAGCTCTGTGCAATAGAAGATTCTAGTGATGTAGGTGTAGGGGATCAAGGAGGGTGTCAGTCAGTAGTCAGAATACAAAACGATACTGGTTTCTCCTCAGGAGAAATGGTTACATTAGGCTAGGAGCAAATCAAAACAAAAAAAGTCAAGTTTGAAAATCTCTTAACAAAACCTGATGATAAACATCAATTGCTTCCTCACCAGAACTGTCTTGTCTACATCTGGGTTGGTTTTGGTTTTTGGTTTTTTTTTTGACCTTCCACAATGACAGTTCTTCACAATTCCTTTAATCATTTTTTTAAATATTTTTTTATTGCCTAAGGGCCGTGATGTATATAGAAGTTGTACATTAAACATACCCTCATTTTTTTTTTTTTAGTACAAAGTTTTTAGTTTCTTTTCCATGATGTGATATCTACAAAGTGATAGTAGAATTATTTTTTCTTTCATTTGGGCCATATCTCCAAAAAATAATAAAAAAAAAGAAAAAAGAAAAAACCCAACACAGAAAACCAACAACTGAGGGTAATGTACAAGTTTCTGTATGTATAAAGTCATGCTCTATTTCGGGAGAGCAGCCGATCACAATTTGCTTTATAAATCAAGGTGTGGAATGGTTACGTATGGATTGATTTAAGAAAATGGTTACCAGTCTACAGACAAAAAAAAAAAATATATACAGGAAAAAAAAAAAGGAAGAAACACAACTTCAAAGATTTTTCAGTGACAAGAATCTGCATTTGTATTTCAAGATAATGTAGTTAAAGAAAAAAAACTTGATGTAAATTCCTCCTTTTCCTCTGGCTTAATGAATTTCATTTATTCAGTATAAAATCTTTATATGTTCCACATGTTAAGAATAAATGTACATTAAATCTTGTTAAGCACTGTGATGGGTGTTCTTGAATAATGTTCTAGTTGCAGTGTGGGATATCGGAAAGCAAACTAATTACAAGAAAGAGCAATAATGACTATTCTCTTTCCCCTACTTTATTATTATGACCTTCAAAAATATTACGCTATTGTCTGCAGCAGCTTGCTCTCCTTTTAGAAAAAGCCTTCTCACATCAGAGCAGCGTTTTTACTTACTCTTACTTAAAACCACGGAGCCTCAAAGGGGAAGACGTGGCTGGCAAATGATAGTTCTGACTATGCAGGTTATCCCGTCTCCATGCTGCGGTTGGGGGACTGAAGACGGATGTTAGAAAAAGTGACAAAAGATTTTGTTAAAGCAATAACCAACTTCAAGAAATTGATCTGTACTCGCTACCTGTAATTCTCTCTGTTGGTTAAAGGTGCAAATACCCCCGCGAGGTGGGTATTTAGAATAAACACCCACCCACTTCTCGATACCGTATGTGTCATTGCATACTTACATGGCCTCTCATCCTGGGAGTTCCCCCATTAAAGCGGATCAGGCTTTAATAGAGCACATCCATCGTTACAGCTGGTGGGAGACGGCCATTTCAGCTGCAGGAATTACCTGGTTTCAGATACAGCCGCTCTCACCTGGTTATACCTTATTGCTGAATAGCGTTCAAGCACTAATTTTTACTATTTCATCTTGGATCATTGACTTTGTTAGTGTGATCGTAAAAAGCCAATAATAATCAATTTCCCTGGAATTGCCACATAATTACACTGTTAGTGGATATCCTCCTCCCCTCTCCAATAACGATACGGAGGTACTTGAAAATTACAACCCCCTTTGGCACACTGCCCACCTTGTCCATATAGATTGCTGTGACATTAATACGCGTAAGAGAATTCCGGAGACAGGTAAAGCATATACAATTATAAGCCAAGTTTGAAACGCGACTCCCTAGCGCCGTGCAAAGTAATTCCACCTTCTCGCCACTCTTGCTCAGCAACCCCTCCGCTCCCACATCGCCTGCTGCGGAGGTCTGTCCCTCTCTTGCGTATCGCTGCGTTCAGAAATACCGCTTATTAGAATTAGAACCCGCTTGTAACTCCTCATCGTAGGAGGTATGATGTTTCGGGCATGATTTCTACAGCTTAATACTGGGCAGCGTGAAAGTCGTATCCCCTGTTAAACTTAATTCTTAGGAAGATTTTGCTGCTTGATAGTACCCCACGGGTACAAGCCAGCTGTCAAATCAACCCTCTGCTGAGCAATACTCGCCCCTCCCATGTCAAGGGCAAGAAGGGACATCTATTCTCCCTTTAGCATCCAGGCCCAGGGTCCTCCGGGGGAAGTTACACCTGTGGCAAAAAAAAAAAGCTGTCAGAGGCAGCCCCTTCAGTGTTACTCGGGACTGCTCTGAGCCCGGTTAAACATCGTGGCAGGGGGGGAACCCACCCAGGTAGCCCACCAGCTGCCTGATGTCCGTTCGTACGCAACGGTGCTGCCACTTACCCAGTTGGGCCAGGAACTAGCGGGGGAACTGAACAAGGGGAAGGGAGAGGTTAATAACACAGGTTCTGCCTGAACACAATTTGGTGCTGTTACAGTAGGAGTAAATGATCTCTGTCGCTCGTTTGTACTACAGCACATTTATCAGAAGAAAGGTGAAGCGTAAGCACTTCACTCCCCTCTGTTGTCTGCGTATGATTCCACCTCTCCCACAGTGTTCTCGTAAGCCATTGGAGAAGACCTGCTCGTGAGACTTGTGAACTTAGCATGTTCTGACTGCATCCTGGACAAGTTTGAGCTGCTGTTGGTATTATTCCTACAAGAGAGATTTTGGGTTTCAGTATTTAAAAAAAAAAAAAAATCTACATTTTTCTGCTTTTGTGAGCACACATACTCTGTAACAAAGCCCAAACTGGTACCAGCAAAAAGGTGGAATATTTGAAATTCTAGAACTGCAATGAGTTATTTAGGGGAAAGCAGCCAATTAGTACTGTAGGCAATAAGCGAACACAGATTTCTCACTCGTATATACATCAATAAGCTCCCCGTTTCTTTGGCAGACCCAAGCAACTAATTGCTTATAGACTGAAAGAGCAGCAGTGAGATATACGGAGTCCCTGAATCTTGCTAGGCTTTAGAATCACTTCAGGAATTAAAAGATGCCTAGCCCCTTTGGTAGGAAAAAAGGGTTTTGTTTTTTGTTAACATGACTTCCTACACTAACCTTTAAAAAAAACAAAACAAAACAAAACAACCCACAAAAAACCCAACCACATGAAAACATCCTGCTCAGGAACACATGTTTTCGACTACCCAGAAGAAAGTATGCAGAAGAAAAATCCATCCATGCTTAAAAGCCTCTGCACCCTCTCTTCACTCTTCGTTTGCTGTTTCATACCACAATCTCTAAACTCTGTGCTATACATCACTCCTGTGACACCATTACCTTTTTGGCCTGGATACATGTCGGAGAAAGATTTACTTATTTAGAGAAATACCGCAGCAAAAGCTTACGCTTGTTTTCCACACTGATGATTCCTATACAACACTTCTACAGTGCAAGGCAGGGTACACCTCTCGCTTCACAAACAATACGGAAACACCTCTAAGTAATAGAGTCAAGGGTAGCTGTCATGACAAAAACACTTCTATCCAAAAAAGATCCCGCCATTGCAGGGGTAGGTTCATTTCAACCTGTGTTTCAGCCCATGCCATCCTGCTTCACTCTCGTTCTGAAGCTGTCGTTCAAAGTTATTGAGCAGCAAAGAAAAAAAATCACTGCCGCCTTTGCTCCCCCTGTACAAGAGAAAGAGTTGCAAGAATCCATTGTGCAGATGCCCAAGCTGGCTTGAAACTGGACTGGAACATGGGAATTGAACTGTGGTGGCATGCAGCACGTTCACCCTTTGAAGGACCTGTTTGTAGGTTCTTTACTCTGCAAGTAGTAGTAGGGGTGTACCTGAGAAATAATACACATCTACTGCCACACTGTAATATCACTGTCATGGAAGTCAGCCTTCTCTGTGTTTTAAATAGGAGCACAGTCTCAAATTCTGAGGCAAGAGTTCTCCAGAGAGGGATGATGACTTCTTGTTTTATCACCATTGACCTGCTAATACCAAATATGCGGAAGCCACTCTCGCACGCAAAACCACAAAGCAGTCCCTGCTGCAAAAAGCTAATTTTCCAACTCATGAACAAGCAACTGCAGGTGGAGACAGCAGAAAATGGAAACAAAAGCAGCAGTAAACTGAAAAGGCAGGCACCACTCTTGTAGCAGAGTGGAATTATGAAGGTCTAGAACACAGCCCCGTACCATCTGCACATTTAATGTTCCTCAGGATGATTTGTGAAATTCCTGAGGGCTCCCCTCTTCTGTTTTCTCATTATGAAATCTTACACTTCACAAGCCAAATTCCTTTCCCTGCATCCCTCACAAATATTTTTTTTTTTTAAGGATTATTATTAAGTCTGGAGAAAGGAGAGAGAAATGTTCTGGGGGAAGAAAGGGAGAAAGGACACATCCATTTGGAGAAAGGGAGGGAGAACACAAAGAGCTGACAGAAAAGCATTCTATGTCCCTGCTGCATTGCTCTATTTTTACATTTTGAGTCATTCCAAAGAAATTAATAATTAAACCAAGCTAGGGGAATTTGACATTCCATTGGAGCAAGGGAAGGGAAGGCAAAGGAAAAGATGAGCCTCCACATACAGACTGGTGAATTCCATTCTTACTCAATTACATTCACCTTTCAAGTCCCCTGAATGGGGAAGGATAAATACTGTCTTCATTGCTAGAAGTCACCCCCAGCTGTTTATTTGTGCGCTGTCAGAAATGAGGTTTCAACGTCTGGCCTTCCTGTCTGTGATTGTCAGTAGCTGCGGGTACCGGAGACAGCTGTTCTGGACTGTGCAGCAAAACCAGCTATTCACACGCCTAAATGGCTTGAGTTTTGCTTCCAATTACTTATTCTAACAAAGTCTAAATGTATTTCATTTCAGTGCTGTTGTACAGTGTAAAAAACTGGGTTTATACTTCACATTGTTCTTAGCTGGCCTAAACTGAACTAATGAGATGGAGCAAGACCCTCATCCGATGCCTCCAACAGAGCTACAACATCTTACCCTGCATTTGTTAATTTACTTGGTCTGTCATTACTTAGTATATATTGCATTTCCATTAATTAAGGAGAGTTATTTACATTGAAAGGGTGGTGGGGTGGAATTGCTTAGCTAGCAGAGCAAATCCCTAGTGACTCAGGCTTCTCTGCAGTGTTTATCCAGGTCTGCAAAGAGACTCCTGAAGGACAAACATTCAGACTTTTGCTCCACTATGGAGTATTTTAAAAAGGAAAGTTTATATATTATCATGGCAGGAGAAAAGTCTATGGTGATCTAACAGGAAGAACTGTTAGACATGCTAGAAAAAGCTCGCAGCACTCCATGATGCAATTTCACTTTACGTATAATAATTTGCTTATCAGTTCTACGTATACATCTGCAACTGAGAACAAAGAAAAATAACTGGATGCCGTGCATGTTTCACTGTCAAATTATAACACAGAACTGCAAAGTCAACTATTAAATCTCTTTTTCTCTAAGAGAATTTGAAAAGAAACAATGTTCCACTGGTTGTATCACCACCACTAAAGCTTCCGATGGACTCCATATAGAAGATTATAATTCTTTTATATGAAAGACGAAGCTCTATATAGAATGAAACACAGCGACTGAAAGCTACTGAGATTTAAGCACAAGGCTTCATAGGCAGACCTAGCACTATACATTTTATATGCACTGGGGGAAAACAGACTTGTAACAACCAGTTATTTATCAATATCCTGTACCCGGGGGCGGGGGGGGGAAGGAATCACCCTGTATTCCCATCCATACTGTATAGTCATGCATGTTTCACGGGCATCTCTCATAACAGTAGTGCAGGAGAAGCTGTTCTTCTGTTCTTTTTCTCTTCCCTAATATTTACTCCCCAAGTCTCTCATGTTGC